TTGACTTTTATTTCACTAATGGTTATTTATCATCATTTCACCTATAAGCGCTTTTTATTACATTATAGAAATACTATGTTATTTTCTGTTTATGAACCCTGCTTCTAACTGTGAAAATATTCTCGAGTACATGTCTGAGCATCTTGGACTTTATGAGAAGGTCTTTGTGTTTCCTGTATTTCCAAACTACTTTCCCTTTAGTATCACAGTGATACCCCATTGTCATTGAGTCGATTCCAGCTCATAGCAACCCTATAGGACAGAATAGAACTAACTGTCCCATAGGGTTTCTAAGGCTATAATCTTTACGGGAGCAAACTGCCACATCTTTCTCCTACAGAGCGTCTGGTGGCTTCAAACTGCCGACCTTTCAGTTAGCACCCAAGCACCTAACCATTGCACCACCAGGGCTCATTAAAATGTGCCAAGTCAGTTGTACTCTGTCATCTGAGAAACTTTTTTAAAAAATCTCATGTGTAAACACAGTGTCATCAAACTCCTTCAGACTCCCTTAATCAAGATCTTGATTTAGTAAAAGGGGAAGATAATATAAGAAGCATAGTGCTGTATAGACAGGATATGTTTTCCTTCTGCTGTGTTGTCAAGCTTCCACCTTGATCTTAAAATGGCAGGTCAGGCAGGCTTCTTACGGCTACATATTGCAGAATGATTCTGGAGTGCAGCCTTGTCCACAAGGAACAAGAGGGAGGCTCAGTGCCAAAATGCTTCTGAAGGTTCAGTTATATTTGAATGGCTTAAATGTTTGAAGGGTGGAGAGTGAAAGTGAATGATCAAAGACGAATGACTAAGAGCTCACTTGAAAAACACCACAGATGGTGATTTAGTAGGTAGCTTTTCTGTTTTGAGGAGGCCCTGGGTGGTGCAAACAGTTAAGCATTCAATTACTAACCCAAAGGTTGGTGGTTTCAACCCTCCCCCCGCAAAGTGCCTCGGAAGAAAGGCCTGGTGATCTGCTTCCGAAAGTTCACAGATTTGAAAACCCTATAGAGCATAGTTCTACTCTGACACACGTGAGGTTGCCATGAGTCAGAATTTACTTGATGGCAACTAATTTTGTTTGTTTTATATTTTGAGCAAAATTCTATGGCAAATGGTGGGAGAGGGAAAAAGTTTGTTAAAATGTCATCAAAAGTCAAAGGACTTCTTTCAGATGCAGAGCACAGGCTTATTACCTGTGCGGCAGCTTTGTGAAGCAGAATGTATTTAAAAACCCAACCGAAGTCTCAATGCCTTAAGACTGAGAAGTCCTGCCCAGCTCAGCCTGATCCTTAGCCTGGCGTCACTAATCACCCAGTGGCAGCTTCTTGAGTTGCAAGCAGAGAACCAAGGACAAACTTTCTTAACTGGGGGTGTGGACAGAGATGGATTTTTTGAAGCTTGGGAGCTTAAGTTTCAGGGCCCCTCCCTTTGTTGGGCCCCTTCTAGGCCCTGCACCTAGGTTTGTATTTATAAATATATATATATTTTTCTTAAAGAGTTGTTAGTTGCTGTGGAGTCAGCTCCAACTCCTGGTGACCCTCGTGTACAACAGAACCAAATGTTGCCCGGTCCTGTGCCATTTTTACAATCGCTAGTGTGCTCAGGTCCATTGTGGAGGCCACAGTGTGTTCTGAGTGCCCTCTAACCTAAGGGGCTCATTTTCTAGCACTATATCAGACAATATTCTGTTGTAATCCATAGGGTTTTCACTGGCTAATTTTTGGAAGTAAATCTCCAGGCCTTTCTTCCTAGTCTGTCTTAGTCTGAAAGCTATACTGAAACTTGTCCACCATGGGTGACCCTGCTGATATTTGAAATATTGATGGCATAGCTTCTAGCATTATAGTACCATGAAAGCCATCTCAGTACAACAAACTGACAGATGGGTGGTAGGCCTTAAAGAAACCAAAAACACCAAACCTGTTGCCATCGAGTCGATTCCTACTCATAGCAACCCTATAGGACCGAGTAGAACTGCCCCATAGGGTTTCCAAGGAGCGGTTGGTGGATTCGAACTGCCAACCTTTCGGATAGTAGTTGAAAGCTCAACCGCTACACCACCAGGACCCTTAAAGAGAGTCCCCTCAAATTGTGTAAGCTTCAACCCCCACAAAATACGAATCCACTCTTGGGTAAGGGTGTTTGTGAACCTCCTGAAGGAATATGCAGCAGTACGGATGTGGCTGTGTGCATCTGTGCATGGACACGTCCCCATTTTTCTGGGGAAGAAGTCTATAGCTTTCATTGGCTTCTCAAAGCTATCTGTAACTCAAAAAAGGTAAAGGAGCTCTGGCCTAGGAGAAATTAATCAGCCCCTTAGTGCTGGTCTTGTAAACTCAAACTTATGAAGTGATGGTTTAATTACTAGATGCAACAACTCATGGCTCATGTAGAATATTGCTCTGAATACCTCTCAGAACACTTTGATCATCAGAGATGTAGGTAGGTATCTTCTTGGTCAGCTCTAAATCTCATCTAGAATATATACCCTCGTATTCACTCATTCACTCATTCATCCCTTAGCACTTACTGAGTTACCTGCTCTTTACCTGGAGCTATACTAGGGACCAAGAGTTCAGAGATAAATTAGGCAGCATCTCTGCTCTTGAGGAACTCACATAGCTTCTCTCATCTCAGCTGAAGAAGGATTCTGCATTCTTTTCCAGGATTGACAAATAAGTGCCATCCTTGAGACCTTGAGGTTATTTTTAATCAATCGAAGTGGAAAGCTTGTCAATATATTCCCAGCTCTAGAAACTCACTCAAAAAGCCAGTCTCACCAGAGAGCTGTCTCCTGGGAGCTTGGGCAGGTTTTGGTGCTCCACTGAGCTCCTGGCATTTCAGCCCCCTGCTTCGGAGAAGATGGCTCCCTTCTGTCCAGCTGTGTTAAGGACTCAGAATGCAGGGAAACCAGTAGGGTGCCGGCCCAGATACCTGAGGAACACGGAAGTAAATAATCATTTGACTGTCATTGGGGTTGAGAGATTTGGCCTTGTGGTTAACAGCTTTATTAATTTTGCAATTAGTCTCCTACAGTCATAGCAAGAATTCTTCTACATCTATTATATGTGAATATTAGCCAGTGGAAATTGAGTTGTATAAGTTATTTTCATTTCCCCAATTCTGTTCTTTTTACCTTTCATTACCCACTCATCTGAACACAAATTCTGTTGATTCTACATCACAAATCTTTTGTTCCTTCCTTTCCATCTCTTCTGCCATCATCTTAACATAAGTCCTTATTAGCTCCCACCTCAATTATTGTCACAGCTTTCCACTGGATTCTGTAACACCCTCTCCCTCCGAATCCACACTACACATTCCTTTTAGAGTTCCCTTTGTAAAACACAGTTCCTATGCTTGTACCATGCATGGTCAGATAGAGCTTCCCACGCAGAACCCAAAGGTGCCATCAGGACCCTATCCTCAAGGAGATTGTTAAAGAGTTTGAATGAGAAGTATAAGCAACGTAAAATGAGAGGTCAAAGAATGCTCTCCTGTCCCAAACCAGAAGAAGTAGATTTCTTGTTCTTCTACACATATACTTACTCCTCCCCCATAGTTCCTTCTAGCCAGAATGTCTCACCTGCCCCTCCCCACACCTGCCTCCATCTCTCAGAATGTTATTCAGGTTTCAACAGGGGATTTCCATGTTATATGAGGAGGCATCAATTCTAAAGCCTGTACCTAAAGTGACAATCTCATAAGGGAATAAAAATTACACTTTGAAACACGAGAACCACCCCGAGAGCAGTCAGGTACTCCTCTGTAAGAAGCACAGGGGAACCAAGACCACCTGAAGAAGCAGTGCAGTCATGTCTTCTAGCTTTTAGTGTTCTAAGTGAGGTTTCCCAATCTTTTCCTTGTCATGACACAGAGAGAAAATGATAGTATCTATATAGCACACCAGAGTAATTGGAGGGAGGTGCATGTGGGGGGTGGGTCCCTATAGCCACCTAGACCTTTCCAGGCCCCTGTGAAGGGACCCCTTCTGCAGCCATGCTCCAGCTTGGAATCTCTGTCCTAGGGGATGCATTTGTTGAATAAAGTAGTGGGGAGAATGGCCACACTTGTTCCATGTTTTTTTCCTCAGGCATTCTTTCTGAGTACATATGGTTGCATTTCTAAAAGTAACATACATTTGAGATATGATTCCACTCTACACACATTCTATCCTCCAGGAATGCTGCCTTGATTCTCCATAAATGCTGTTTGTCAGTCTCTCTTAGATAGATAAGGTGGGTGGGTGGCTGGGTGGGTGGATGGATGGATGGATGGATGGGTGGATAGATGGGTGGATGGATAGATAGCTGCCACTGAGTCAACTTTGACTCATGGTGACCTTATGTGCAACAGAATGATGGACTGCATCCTCCTCACAATCGCCAGCATGGTAGAGTTCATCACTGCAGCTGTTGTGCCAATCCATCTCACCCAGGGTCTCCCTTGCCTTCATTGACCCTCTACTTCACCCAGCATGATCCTCCTCTAGCAACTGATCCTTCCTGATCACATGTCCAAAACAAGCGAGTCAGACAGTTTTCTGTTGTGATCCATAAGGTTTTCATTGGCTAATTTTTGAAAGTAGATTGCCAGGACTTTCTACTTAGTCTAACACTGGAAGCTCTGCTGAAACGTGTCCACTATGAGTGATCCTGCTGGTATTTGAAATACTGGTGGCATAGGTTCCAACATCACAACAACATGCAAGCTACCACAGTACAACAAACCAGCAGATAGGTGGTGGCTCTCTCAAATAGTACATGTATAATCTATCTAAAATCATTAAACTTGGTCTGACCCTTCAGGGAAAGAAACTCTGACTCATTTATACCTAACTTGGGGCCAGCTGGCCCATGGTAGATGTTTGGATATGCCTTTGTTAAAGGAGTAAGTAAATGGTTGCTCATTCTAGAAGCCTGTTACTTGGTTGATACCACAATAAGGCTCTTCTGCATCTTAAAATTAATTTTGTTCCCTCTCTCTTTCTCTCTTTATAGGAATTCAGAAATAGGTGTGGGAATCACTTGAGTTCACTCTCCCACACCTCTGCTGCCATTGAGCGAGGTTTGGTGAGTTCCAGGACAGTGCCGCAGATGCAGAGGCTACAGGAAGACTGCGCACTGAAGATCTCTGTGGGCCTGGCTCTGCTGGCTCTTCTTTTTGCTTTTTTTGTTAAGGTCTTTAATTAGAACACAACTGAATGAAGTGCCTGAGAAGAAGAATAACTTTCTAATTAAAATTCTCATTGAGCAGGAAAGCAGCCACATCAGCTCTCAAAGGGCAATAATTTGTACTGGTCCCACTGCCTCCTCTTCAGCCACACTTTTTAATGAGGCTCACCCTGTCTCACATTGAGCTGGACCCATTGGTTATTTGACCTAAAACCTAATAGCAGCTGCCATGGCATATCTTTTCAATTAAGCTCATTTTGATTTATTTTTAGCAAGAAAGTGCAAGTAGTTGCTTTTTTTTTTTTTAATCTCCAGTCTCAAGTCAGAACCTAATTTGTACAGTGGCTCTGGTCATCTTTTCCTTGTGTGGGAAGAATTTTGCATCTTAATAAATGTTTTTAAATGTCTTCTTTCTCTTTACACCTTGGTATTGAATTCACAATGCAAAATTCCTGAGAAGGTTTTCACAGCAGATGTGTTCCTGAAAGTTTATATAGAAACCTATTCTGGGAACTCGAATCCTTTTGGAATGCCCCTGAAGAGCCTGCCAATTAAAGGATTCTTGGCAATGTTTTGTGAGGTGCGAGGATTCGCTCACTTGTTTAGTACCCGCAAACTTTCAGAAATCATATTTGTCTAAAACAAGCTATGCCCCTTCTCTGATATTTTTGATTGATCGAATCAAATGTTTTCCTTCCTTCCTCACATCCTTGGCCTTTACTAAGTGAAGTGATTTCTTTTGCAATAAAGGGAATTGGTGTACTAGAGAAATCTTAGGTGTATCAGAATTTAAATAAGCTATTTGGATTGTGTGTTGTTGTTGTTAGCTGCCATTGAGTAGGCCTCCACCTCGTGGCAACCCCACACACAACTAAACGAAACACTGCCCGGTTCTGCACCATGACTATGATCAGTTGCAGATCAGACCGTTGTGATTCATAGGGTTTTCACTGGCTGATTTTAGGAAGTAGATCACCAGGCCTTTCTTCCTGGTCTGTCTTAGTCTGGAAGCTCCACTGAAACCTGTTCAGCAACATGCAAGCCTCCACTGACAGATGGGTGGTAGCTGTGCATGAGGTGCATTGATTGTATTGTACAGACACAGGGAAATAAAGGAGCCCTTGTGATGCAGTGGCTAAGAGCTCATCTGCTAACCAAAATGTTGGCAGTTCAAATCCACCAGCTACTTCTTGCCCCTTTGGGGCAGTTCTACTCTGTCCTATAGGGTCGGTAAGAGTTGGAATCAGCTCAACAGCAATAGGTTTGATTTTTTTTTTTTTTATGATTACCATAGGATTTTTTTCATCTTTAATCCGACACTCCTGTTCATCTCTTCCATTTATCTGAACATGTTTCAACCTTTTATGTATCCTTTCAGGAATCAAACCTTTTAGATCTTAAAAGATTTTTAAATTGAATTATATATCAGTTGGTAAATGAAAAAACAAAAAACTTTAGTGTTAGTACATTTCTCCCAAACCTGGTATATGCTTCTAAGAAAAAGTCACATTTAAAATGCAAAGCTTTCATCCACCTATGAGCAGCTGATATTTGACAAAGGCCCAAAGTCCGTTAATTGGGGAAAACACAGTCTAAAGATACAAATGGTGCTGGCATAACTGGATATCCATCTGCAAAAAACTGAAACAAGACCCATACCTCACACCATGCACAAAAACTAACTCAAAATGGATCAAAGACTTAAATATAAAATCAAAAACTATAAAGATCATGGAAGAAAAAATAGCGACAATGCTGGGAGCCCTAATGCATGGCATAAACACAATACGAACCATAAGTAACAATGCACGAGCACCAGCAGAGAGACTAGATAAATGGGAGCTCCTAAAAATCAAACACTTATGCTCATCAAAAGACTTCACCAAGAGTAAAAAGACAACCTACAGACTGGGAAAAACATTTTGGCTACGACAAATCCGATCAGCGTCTAATCTCTAAAATCTACAAGATACTACAAAACCTCAACAACAAAAAGACAAATAACCCAGTTAAAAGATGGGGAAAGGATATGAACAGGCACTCTGCCAAAGACGATATTCAGGCGCCTAACAGACACATGAAGAAATGCTCACGATCATTAGCCACTAAAGAAATGCAAACCAAAACTACAATGAGGTATCATCTCACCCCAATAAGGCTAGCATTAAACCAAAAAACACAAAATAATAAATGCTGGAGAGGTTGTGGAGAGACTGGAACACTCATACACTGTTGGTGGGAATGTAAAATGGTACAACCACTTTGGAAATGGATTTGGCGCTTCCTTAAAAAGCTAGAAATAGAAGTACCATACAATCCAGCTATCCCGCTCTTGGAAATACATCCTAGAGAAATAAGAGCCGTCACACGAATAGATAATGCACACCCATGTTCATTGCAGCATTGTTCACAATAGGAAAAAGATGGAAACAAAAGGTGCCCATCAACGGACAAATGGATAAACAAATTGTGGTATAACCACACAGTGGAATACTAAGCAATGGTAAAGAACAATGGTGAAGCTGTGAAACATAACATGGAGGAATCTGGAAGGCATTATGCTGAGTGAATTTAGTCAGTCACAGAAGGACAAATATTGTATAAGACCACTATCATAAGAACTCAAGAAAAGGTTTAAACACAGAAGAAAACATTCTTTGATGGTTATGAGGGGAGGGAGGGAGAGGGGAATTCACTAATTAGATAATAGACAAGAATTAGGTGAAGGTTAGGACAACACACACTACAGAGGAAGTCGGCACAATTGGACTAAACCAAAAGCTAAGAAGTTTCCTGAATACAATCAAACACTTTGAGGGACAGAGTAGCAGGGGTAGGGGTCTGGGGACCATGCTTTCAGGGGACATCTAAGTCAACCGGCATAACAAAGCTTATCAAGAAAGTGTTCTGCATTCTACTTTGGTGAGTGGTGTCTGGGGTCTTAAAAGCTTGCAAGTGGCCATCTAAGATGCATCAGTTGGTCCCAACCACCTGGAGTAAAGGAGAATGAAGAACACCAAAGACACAAGGAAAGTATTGGCCGAAGAGACAGAAAGGGCCACATAAACCAGAGACTTCATCAGCCTGAGACCAGAAGAACTAGATGGTGCCTGGCTACCACTAATGACCGCCCTGACAGCGGACACAACAGAGAGTCCCTGATGGAGCAGGAGAAAGGTGGGGGGCAGAACTCAAATTCTAGTAAGAAGACTAGACTTAACAGTCTGACTGAGACTGGAGGAAGCCCAGAAAGCATGGCCACTGGATTCTCTATCAGCCCAGAACTAGAACAATTTCCGAGGCCAACTCTTCAGACAGGGATTGGACTGGACTGTGGGCCATAAAGGGATACTCGTGAGGAGTGTGCCTCTTAGCTCAAGTAGATACAAGAGACTAAACGGGCAGCTTCTGTCTGGAGGTGAGATGGGAAATCAGAGAGGGTTAGGAGCTGGTTGAATGGACATGGGGAATCAGAGGTGAAGAGGAGTGTGCTGTCACAGTACGGGGAGAGCAATTAGAGTCACATAACTATATGTAGAAATTTTTGTGTGGGGAAAAAATAAATATAAAATGCAAAGCTGCCTATGCCCTTCAAGAGTCCTACAGTCTCATGTCTACGTGGGAGCATCCCCTCATTTCACAGCAGGATTAGAGAGAAGTGTTGGCAAAGTATAGGAGCCTGCCAGGAACCTCCTTTCTTGAGCTATCTGCAAAGCCATTTCTTTGTTAATAAACAGAATGAGTTCCAACGTGGTAGTTATTTGACAAAAACCTAGCAAAGGTGAAAATACTACCCAAAGCCTGGAGTCACACAGTATAGGACATAAGAAGAATGTTATGCCTACAACTCACTGGAGATGGGAAGGTTCTTTCCTACATCCATTCCCTCACTCTTCTACTCACCCCTCATCTATTTCTTCCCCCTTCTCTGGCTGTGTACTCTCCTGTCTTCCACTCTGCTTCCTCTAAGACAATGATACACCCAATTGTTCAACAGCCCCCTCACCACTGTGGTGCGGATTCTCAAGGAGTATTCCAGCTATACAGGATGCCCCCACGCACCCCAGTGGTAAACTCATAATCCATTGCCTTCAAGTCAATCTCTATAGGACCAAGTAGAACTGCCTTACAGGGTTTTTAAGGCTGTATATCCTTACAGATACAGATTGCCACATCTTTCTCCCACAGAGCATCTAGTGAGTTCTAATTGCTGACCTTTCAGTTAGCAGCCAAGCACTTAACCACTGTGCCTCTAGGGCTCACTTACCCAAGTGGTTCCAAGCCCATTGCTGTCAAGTCAATTCCGACTCATGCCAACCCTATAGGACAGAGTAGAACTGCCCCACAGGGTTTCCAAGGAGTGGCTGGTGGATTCAAACTGCCGACCTTTTGGTTAGCAGCTGAAGGCTTAACCACTGTGCCACCAGAGCCATTGTTCTTGTTGTTGTTAGGTGCTGTTGAGTCAGTTCAGACTCATAGCAACCTTACGTACAACAGAACAAAAACACTGCGCGGTCCTGCGCCATCCTCACAGTTGTTATGTTTGAGCCCATTGTTGCAGCCACTGTGTCAAGCCGTTACCCTCAATTAGGCTGCAACTCCACTCTGCTCTTTGGTCTGGAAAGTTAAAAAGCCACCGCCCTGTGGCAGGGACCAGATCACACATGGTATCAGTCACTATATTCCTACCAACTGGCGAGCATAGCAGTGGCCATGGTATGGAAATTATTTTTTCCATGACCTCCTGCTTAGGGGGAGGGAGAGGAGAATGGTGTGGTGGATACCTACAGCACAGTTCTCTGTAGACATGACTTTGAATGGGACTGAGCCTGGGAGCTTTAGGAGCAAGTGTGATCATCAGTAGAACTGTATCTTTCCAGCTCATGTCCTTCTTGGCCCTGAACTTCCCCTGCCCCTTGCAAGCTAGCCATGGCATGTGACTTCTCTGGTCAGCAAAATCTCAGTGGAAGGGGCATGTCCCCCCTTTGAGCAGACATATTAAAGGCCAGTGTACAGTTCACCATGTTTTCTTCTCACTGCTGTGGTGATCGTGGACGCACATTTCAAGATGAAGCCTCCCCCAGCCTGGGCCCCAAATCAGTGCCATGAGCTCAGTCCCCTGCCAGCATGTGCTAGACATGTATTGGTGAGCAAGAAATGAGCTGCTGTTGTGTTAAGCCACTGAGATTTTGGGGATGTTACCATAGCATAAGAACCCTGGGTGGTGCAAATGGTTAATGTGCTCAGCTGTTAACCGAAAGGTTGGAGGTTCAAGTTTACCAAGACGCACCTCAGAAGAAAGGCCTGGTGAT